AGTTCCCATGTAATCCATTATTTTGAACGGCTTGGCTACTTGCCCTACATGTAATATCTTTTGTTTCTTTTTCAGCATTCAATAAATACTAGATGCCCTGCATGTAATACCCCAGGTGTAACACCCATAATGAAGAGCAAGGTGCCCAATGCTTTAACTGACAAGGGGCTAACCACCCATGCGACCCAGGTGGAAGACGTGTGTATATGTTCCAAGAGTCTGGACGGCGAGAGCAAGAAAGAAAATAGAGAAATTAAAGAAACAGAACAGAACAGACAGGAAAGGAAGGTTTCTTCCTCGTGTTATCTAGATCATCTAGCCTCTAATTTCCTCTTCTTCTTTTGCTACTCGTATCGTCAGATTGATCTCAACAGCGACCATGGGTGTGACAGGTGGTATCAGAGGCTCGTCTTCCTTGACGTGGTCAATTGGGCATCGACTCCTTTCTGGTGTGGCGACAAGCAGTCCGTCACAGATTCCTTCAGCCTTGATTTGTGTATCACTCAGCAGTCGGTTGATTTATGGTTTGTCCTCCATTCGAGTGCATTCCTGCATTCCTCTAATTCTGTGTCTGCGATTGTTTCGGCCTGAGGGTGATTGGATTTATGGTCGTGCTTGGATTTGGATCAGAGAAAGATGGACAAAGCACAACTCCACACAAGGCCTAATCTAGACAGGAATGAAAATCTGAATGTTCTCGAGAGGAAGAACTGCCCACATTATGCATGCTGTAGAAATGATATATCCTAGATAAAGAGGGAAGTGTTGAAGTATCAATAGATTTCCCATGCTGTGAAGAGGGACTTGTAAGTTTCGGACCTCACCAGTGGCATATAGTTAGAATTTGCTGAACAGGGCAAACCAAAGTGGCGACACGTGACAAATGAAAGAAGAGTACAACCAAATGGCTTAGCTACACCGAAACCAAGAAAATACGGATTTGGCAGGTAGGTCAAAATGTCCCCATATGGGATGCGATCCAATATTATGATTAACAAATTGCTTCGGGTATCATAAATTGTTGCATGCTTTCCATCTTAACTCCTTGTGAAACTGATACATGAGATAAGATTTAAGCTTTAGCAGGCTTTGTATTTGAACTTCAATGGGGTGGGTGGGTGGGTGGGTGTGTTGGGCCCTCGGGGGGAGGGGAGTCGACAAAGAACAAGAAGTTAGCTAGGTGCTTTCTATCTTAATGCCTTGCAAATCTGGTACACAAGATGAGATTAATGGCCTGTTTGGCAGGGCTCCGGCTCTGGAGAAGTGGCTTCTTTGGTGGAGTTGAAGCACTTTGGAAAATGTTTGGCAAAACAGCTCCTGTATTTTCAGGAATGAATAGAATATATATATCTAATGTCCATGTTGCCCCTAGCTATTACTCTTTATATGAACTTGATTTTCTCTATTTTTTCATTTGCTTTTTTACTGTATAATTCATAAGAAAAAGGCGTTATTATATTACTGTAAATTCTCGACTTCATTTGAACTTGTGCATGGTGGCCGGAGGTCCAAGTATGTATACATGTATTGCTCCGTATTTCTTCTTTTATTTTTCTAAGGGAAAGGTGTGGTCATGACATCACCTGATCCTCACGCCATGCTCTGCATCCACCGATGTGGGATACTACGAGCAAGCGCCAGTCGAGGTCACACAGCCAAGACCATGCTCGTGCCTGTCACGGCCAAGCCTTGCAAGACCATCCCATCATAGCTTCCAATGTGGTAGCACTAGGTCCATCCATCGCCTCCTGGCTGGCCAACCTCCACCTAGTCGTTGGCCTCTACAAGGTTCTACTCGGGGTGCATGTGTGAGCAACAGGAGTCCACCAGAGGGGAGAGGTTCGCGCGCGACAGAGGAGGGCAGAGGAATCCTTTGCTTGTGTGACCCTCGACAGAGCGAAGTGAAGCCACAATTTTGGGCTCCATCCGTCCTTCACAAAAAAAACGGCTCTGCCTTCACCCTGCTTCACCCGTGAAGCACCTTTGCAAGAGACCGCTTGGTAGAGTTTCAACTTTCAACAGGAGCTAGAGTAGAAGCCCTTTATGGTGCGCTCCCATAGGGGCTCTAAACTTTAATGGACATTGTATTAGAACGTCAATTTAGGGGGACAAAGAAAAGTAATAGTAAATGCAGTTAATAGAGGGCATGGATTTTGCACCACATGGGATTTCGAACACTGTATTCAGGTGGATTTTTTTGTTATTTTGGTATAGATATTCTATTTGATTGGTAATGCTTGCTTCTATCACAGATACTACTAGTTGCCTGAAAGTGTAGGAAGCATAGAGCAAACCAAAACTATATAACTAGATCACTTATCCCATAAATAAAATAGGGAATCAATTGGCACTGATCTCATTCTCCACCACAGCCAACCCCACATCAAACAAAGAGAACAAAAAGAGACAACAACAAAGACAACACACACAACAAAGAGAGAAATCACAGCCATGTGGCTTATCTCAACATTATGGAGGATGGAACTCCCTGCATAGCAAGTTGGAAACTCAGATAATAAGTGGTGGACACCAAAAGGCGAGCTGCGAAAATGGGGAGACAGCGGGTCTATTGTGAACCCATTAGGAAAACAAACTAGATGGTTGACTACCATACAGTAGAGGCCATGCCATAATTGCCCATGGAATAGAAGACATGTCAAGAAAACAAACTAGATGGTTGACTGCCGTACAGAAGACACACCATAATTGTCAATGGAATGGAAGACATGTCAACCATAATATAGTTTGCCTTGTCTTTTCAATGCTGCAAAGTCCAACCAAGTACCAACCTTCCAAAATCAAATGCCTAAGCCAAGATTGTCCATCAGGGAAAACCAAGGCAACATATAAGCAAAAAGTCCATTTTTTTATTAAAAAATCACAAAGGTTTGATGTCTTAAGGATTCCCCCGCACAAGTAGAACCTCAAAATGGCTAAACATGATTGATGCATTTGTGATACCCAATATGCAAAAATCTCAAATAACTACACAACTTGAATATAGTTGTGTTGTGCACATGTAACACGTATACAACATACTAGATATGCATACTTGACTAGTTCTTTCAAACAATGCAACCAGATCCAACAGCAGTACCTCTTCAGGTATCTACATCTACATTTAAAACAGGCCTTTTTGCCAAATTGTAACCTACAAGGCAGGTTTTTAACAAAAAAAATGTGTGATTCGACTCTTACAGGAGTACTAAAACAACAATGCTACCAATGACCTTGACCTAAACCACAAGATGCACAAAGAGGACAATAAACTTTTAGCATCAATAATAGATTTTTGGCTTGAAATGTTCATGCTTGATTGGGAAAAATACACAAATGAGTTCACACTCTTTGGCTTGAAATTAATTATGCCACTTATGCCAATTTAGCTCATGGAATTCTTCGTTATTCATGCTGATTGGATGCTAACTTGTTGAAAATCCAATTATAAATTCAATATTCTGCTTATCCATATAGATTACCTAGGCATCCACCTGCTAGACACCACCCAATCACCTAACTAGCGCCTAGCAATTTTTTAAAAACTGATTATGCTAGAAGTATCACCTTTCATTGCACAGGCGAGGGTAAGGCTTGCCACTGACACCCTTCCCCAGACCCCGCACAGAGCGAGAGCTCTCTGCACTGGGTACGCCCTTTTTTTTATTATGCTAGAAGTATCACCTTTATTAGTAAACAGAATAATGTATCATGTTAAAAACATTGGTTTAAGAGTCATCAATCCAATACCTAACCTGTCCTACCAAGACCATGCCAAAATAGTAATTAGTGAATTTTTCTGGATAAGAATGGTGGTTTTGCCATCAAGGGTAGAACTGGAAGGGAAATAAAGAAAACTCAAAGATAATTCTACATGTCAAGTAGAATAATCACAACAAGCATGCTATCATTTCAAAAAAAGAAACACAAAATTATGCAATATGCTAATATGCAACGAAACACTTTAAATGTAGCATCTAATTCAAACATCTAAGCTGCCACATAAAAGCTGTGAAAATGCACTAATCCTGTGGGGCACACAGAAATAAAACAGCTAGTTTACAGTAGATGGTAGAACTGGGATGACAAAGAAACCAAACCAAAAACACAATTCCACTCGACAAGTGTAAACCAGACAGGCATGTAATCGCTTGATGTTTGAATGAATAAAAAAATGAGGGAGCATGCCAACCAGCTAAATTTAAGCATAACTTTGTGACTTATTCAATGATAAACTCATGATGAATAAAAAAATGCAACCCAATTATCATGGCAAGCTGAACTCTAGAAGATTGACACATATTCTACACACTAGTATTGTGATACAGAAACTTGAGCTCAATAGGTCCAGAAACAAACACCTGCCATATGTATATGGCCTATTTTACTATGAAAGCTAGAGCTGTGGATTCTGAAAGGAAGAAAGACAACCAAACGGTTCCACTTTGTAAACAAAAGAAGACTAGATAATCCTTGCAAAGAAAAAAGACAAGATAAGAAAGGTGTAACTATGAAAATGAAAATTTAGCCAATAGCCCGAAGACTCAAAAGAAAGAAAAATTCCAGAAGAAACCCGTTAATTTTCCTTCAAACAAATATCATGCTACAAACATTGCATGGTAAATGTAAAAAAAAAACGAATGACACTGCCTAACTTCTTAAAAGTATGCCAAATTTCATAATTCTGTGTGCTTTGAAACGAAAATTGGCTACTATACCATTGAGGCTAGAGGAAGGGAAAGAGACTAAATTGTCAACACAATCAAACCTCATGACTTGAGTAAATCAAACAAGCATGGTGATTTTGGATAACTAAATCCCACAATTAAATAGTCAACCGAGCATGCTAATTTCCAATGTAAGTTTAACAGCATTGGCACCTTAATCCAATTGTAGACTGATGATAAGCAAAAAACCAGCCTAATTAGTCCAAGCAATTGAAACAACAGAAGTAAATCAATCTCACTCACAGATCACAGAGAATGGTAAAATCTGTACCCAAGCTAAGGCCCTAGGCCTTTGATAGCATCGATGAGCAGGCCATAGACCTCCTTTTCCAGATCATGCCGGCGCATCTGCATGCGCATATCTGCCTCAAGCTGTCGCCTCCATTTGACCTCAGACACACTAGCCTCCTGTGGCCCAAGCATCGCCAACCCCTTCTCCAGCGACACACCTGACATGGTCTGTCCGTTGAGCCTCCAGTACTCTCCAAGCACCTCCTTGACCATAGGAAGCTTCACGGCCCCCTCCCTATCCCCGCCAATGAATCCCTCGTCGGCCTCCTCAGCCACCGCGATGGCGTTCTCTTCAGGGCGCGCGAGCTCGGCGCCCCAGAGGGCCGCGCCCAGGTCGCGCAGCCGGTGCTCGTGCGCGGTGCTGGATTCGCCCGGCACGGAGTGCTGGAACTTGCTCTTGAGGCGCTTGAGCTTGTAGTACACCTTGGCCTGGTCGAGGTGCGGCGCGAGGGAGTCCCTAATGGACTCGAACAGTTCGCCCATGTCCGGGAGGCGCGGCGCGATGCCGGTGCGGTCCTTGAAGGCGACGGCGCCCGTGAGCAGCGCGACCTCGTCGGACTCGGTCCAGAGCTTCTGGACGGCGCCCGCACTGCCACGGCCCCCGCCGGCCGCCGGGGCCGCGGAGGCGGCGGCGGCCGCGGCGGCGACCGAGGCCATGGCCGTGGCGAGCGTGGCGGAGTCCGGGAAGGAGCGCGGCTTGGGCTTGCGGTCGCTCTTGCGGGAGGGCGCGGCGGCGGAGCCGCCGTGGTCCGCGGCGCGCTCGCGGCGGGAGCTAGGGTTAGGGTTCGGGGAGCGGCGGCGGTCCCGGGAGCGGCCGCGGGACTTGGAGCGGGAGGTGCGCTTCTTGGAGCGCGGTGTGGAGGGGCGGAGGCGCGCGGCGGCTGCGGAGGCGGCTTCGTCCATGGCGTGCGGAGACGGCCGCTTCGAGGGCATCGGCGGCGTGCGGGCGAGGGCTCGGGACGCGGGCGATTCGAATTTCGGGGGCTCGGGAAACGGAAGGGGATGGGGAAGCCGAGGCGGAAGAGGGGAAGGGGAGTTCAGTGGGCAGCGGCCAGCGGCGCAGGCTGCACTCCGGAGTCGGGAAGGGAGCGGGACGCGGCGTGGCGCGCGTGTCGAGTTGCGGACTGCGAGTCGGACAAGGCCACAAGGGTACGGTTTCTTCGTGCGTTTCGCGACTCCGTCGGCATGCCCCCGTGTCGCCCGCGCTGCCGTGCTCGCCTTCCACTTCCGGAGGCCTGCGCTCCGACTCCGAGCGTGACATCACTCGCACGGCACGGCGCACCCTGCCGCTGGTGCCGGCCGTTGTTTGATTGAACGCGGTTTGGAATTTTGGATGACGCACCTCTGGCTGTGTTTTGTTTGCGAAATTTAGAAATTTGGCTATCGTAGCATTTTCGTTTTTATTTGGTAATTAGTATTCAATCATAGACTAATTATACTTAAAATGTTCATCTCGCGATTTCCAATCAAACTGTACAATTAGTTTTTTTTCGTCTACATCTAATGCTCTATACATGTATCGTAAGATTCGATGTGATGACTACTGTAGCACTTTTTGAGAAACTTTTTAGGAACTAAACCAGCACTCTATTCAACAGCATGCAATTTTAACGGCATCTGTAATTTTCCCCAAAACTGTACTACTAGGCCTGATTTAGATTGCAAATTTTTTCACTCTCTCCATCATATCAAATCTTTGACACACGCATAGAGTATTAAATATAGATAAAAAAAACTAATTACACAATTTAATTATAAATTACGAGATGAATCTTTTAAGTCTAGTTAGACCATAATTAGATAATAATTATTAAATATAAATGAAAATGCTATAGTGTCCTGGTTCCTAACTCCAATCGGATAACACCGGCAGCAGGCCAGGCCTGCTCTGAACTAAAGTCCACGATGATGACCTGATGTTGCCATGGCTCGCTACACGGTCCTTGGTGCCTGCGCTGGAGTTGCGTGACCGTGGGAATAGAGCCGTGCATTGCCCGCGCGAAAATATCCTACCGTGGTTGCCGTCGCCTTTGGGCTGGAAAAAAAAATATCCCAAGTCCTGAAATACTTGCATCCGCCTCCAGCCACCACCTAGCCCAGCACGATTGAGATCGATCGCAGATGGATGATTGATCCCGATTATCTTATCTCGCCCGTCGCGCGCAGAGCCCCACCAAATACACCATCGATGTCTGCCACCGAACCGGCAGCCAGTGTGGCCTCCGACGGCTTCGACCGGCGGCGCGAGCTGCAAGCGTTCGACGACACCAAGGCAGGCGTGAAGGGGCTCGTCGACGCCGGCGTAACAGCCATCCCGGCCATCTTCCGCCACGCCCCGGAGTCCCTGGAGGCGACCTCGTCCCCACCGCCCACCGACGTCGTGGCCGCCGGCATCATCATCCCGGTCATCGACCTCGCGGCCGCACCGCGAGGAGAGGTGGCCAACCAGATGAAGCGCGCGGCCGAGACCGTGGGGTTCTTCCAGGTGACCAACCATGGCGTGCCGCGGGAGCGCATGGCCGGCGTGCTCGCCGGGGTGAGGCGGTTCAACGAGCAGCCAGCGGAGGTGAAACGCCGCTTCTACACCAGGGACACTGCGCGCAAGGTGAGGTTCAGCTCCAATTACGACCTCTTCCAGTCGAAGGCCGCCAACTGGCGCGACACCCTCTTCTGCGAGCTGGCGCCGGACCCGCCGCGGCCTGAGGAGCTCCCCGAGGCTGTCAGGTATGAACACACACGCGCACACTAATCCCCGTGTTGAATGTCTGATCCATGCCCAATACTTCATGATCGATCGGTGCTTCAAAACGAGCGAACGAAAAGGGACGTGATGCTGGAGTACGGCGACGCGGCGACGAAGCTGGCGCTGTGGGTGTTGGAGCTGCTGTCGGAGTCCCTCGGGCTGGGCAGCGATCACCTGCGCCAGATGGGCTGCGCGCAGAGCCTGAACGTGGCGAGCCACTACTACCCGCCGTGCCCGGAGCCGCACCTCACCCTCGGCACCAGCAGGCACGCCGACGCCACCTTCGTCACCGTCCTCCTGCAGGACATGGGCGGCCTGCAGGTGCTCCTCGACCGCAGGGGCTGGGTGGACGTCCCTCCCCTGCCCGGCGCTCTGATCGTCAACATCGGCGACTTTCTTCAGGCATCCACTCGATCTCCACACCACACCGTCTGGATCTCCATTTCACTGGAAATTGTTACCTGTAATGTGACCCGACGCTGACTGTGGTTGCGCCTGCCTTGCCCCCATGATTTGTGCAGCTTGTCAGCAACGGCCGGTTCAGGAGCGTGGAGCACCGGGTCCTGGCGAACAAGAGCAGGGACACGCCCAGGGTATCGGTGGCGTGCTTCTTCAACGCGGACACGAAGAGATCTACGAGGCTTTATGGGCCCATCACGGATGGCAGCGATCCCCCGCTCTACAAGAGCGTCACAGCTAGAGAGTTCGTCGCGTACTCGTACAGCAAAGGTCTCGACGGTCGCCCGCTTGAGCACTTCCGGTTGGGGGCAGAAGAACATTACTCCTAGACCAGCTGCGTAGTTAGTGATGCAAGTTATAATTACTTTGTATAGTTGTTAGTTGGGTCAATCCAAAAAATTGTTTAAATGAACTAGAATGGTATTCAATGTAATTTGAGCTAGGTAAGATTTAAACTTAAATGGTATTTGATCGTGATTAGTTAGTTGACCCAAAAAGAACCACCATTAAGTACTCACCTGCATCCTTACATGTAGTCCGTTGTACTACCGGTACGAGGATTAGGACATCCTTCCGCTGAGCATCTCCAGGTGTTTTTGATTTAGGGACTATTTGAGATGGGGCAGGTCCGTCTCTCTTTTTAAAGTGAAATCATTTCACATGAATGTTTGGTTAATATAAGAAGAGAATGGCTCAGTTCCTTTATTTTTAGGAGGGATAATAGGATGTTGGCTCCTTGCTCAGAGCTGTTTTGTGGTGTTTGTTTGGTACCCAAGGCCAGCCCAAGTGGCGCGACCACAGGGGGCTCTAAAAACTAAAACCCCCTAATCAATAATTGGTCATTATATTAAGCATAATTATTTTAAGCCCAACTAGTCTAAGCACGAGTTTTTTTTTAGTTTCTTGACGCAGCTCACAAGGATTACCATGCAAGTGTTCACGGATCGCTTATGTGACTCCATTGCAATGCTCTAACTCTCAAGTCCAATAATCTACCATAGCTACTCGCTTTCACGTGATAAATTCCATTCATTTTGCATTGGCGTCGACCATCGCTACAAACACCGCAAGTGGCACCATGACGGCCAACAAGATGTTGCGGCACTCCCTAGCTGACACCAATCGGCCGACGAGTCCTCCATGCTGCTTGTTAATTTTCACTTTTTCTTCTCTACCAACATGCCTTTTCAATTTTCATTCTTGTCTTACTTCTTGATTAGGGTAATAACGTGCATTCTTGCCTATTGGTTCGGTGAATATTTGAGAGGGTTATTAAATATCTATTGTAGTTATTATTGTTGAAAATTATATGTCGTTATATAATGGAACCTAATTTAGTTATTTTATTTATCAACATATAGGGGCCTTATTTTGGGTTTCGCTGAAGAGCCACAAAAAAAAATCCTATACGGGCCTGCTAAATTCGAAGCAAGAGCTCTTTCGAGAGCTTTGGCACTAAGTAAAGTTTGAAAAAAAAAATCATAACTTCCACTCTCAATCGTAAACTTTTTTTTTATCAAATCGATCATATAGATCTAGACTATAACGGTAGATCGGTTAAAAGATATAAGAAAAAAATGATCAAATGCAGATGGAACAAGTATGCTAGTAGATAATAGTGTACAATTCAAATTTGTGTTACTACTAGATCTCACAATAATAATAAGGACATGTTCGGTAAAAAAATTGTACAACAGTTCTAGGAGCAATTCTGCATAATTTTTTTTCACCAAACGTGTAAAAAGGAAACAACTTCTCACGTGGACCTGAGGAAAATCGGTCTCACGAGGCTTGGACAACGGATGGAGCAGAGAAAACAAACTTAAACCGGTTCCTCCCTTTTCTAGGGCTATGGTTCAAGGTACGTATTACCCTTGCAGTTGATTAAATATTACATGATTATGCCACCCAATTTCCACTTCTACTGTAGGCAGCACTTGTCAGGGGTGACCCATGAGTTGAAGGCCCACCGGTGGGAGAATTGTGTGCCCTAATCACCGGTGTTGCAGGCGCCAGGCGGTGCATGGCATCGCGCGGCGGCTCATGCCTAGACGCACCCATGGGTGACAGTGGTGCGAGCGAGACTTTTAGGTCCTGGCGATCACAGTCCGACACCCTCCCCTTGGGAAATGGTTTGCTTGCCAATAATCTGTATTATTGTTTTTATTTCATATGCCCTCAAATATAAAGAACATATGCAAACATTCAATTCAATTATTACAATAAGTAAGATAGTTAGGGGCATATTGAACATCTGTCCACTCTTGGCCATTCTTGTCAATATAGAAGAAGTTATCCAGGCAAACGTTTTACCATAATAGTTTTAGCTCCACCACTGAAGCTGCTCGAAGAGTCGAAGCAAAAAAAAAAAGCTTCTCCTCCAATGAAGCAGAGTTATACCAAATGTGTCACGACCTGACTTTGCACTAGTGTTTAGCATCAACATCATGGGCATAATTATCATCAAAGTTCCTATTTATCTTAATCAACAAAAACAAATTTTATATAGTATGTAGAGATTATAAACATTCAAATTTCATTAAATGGACGTCTCATGGTAATTATGGAGTATATAACAATAGCCGAAGAGCAACTTCTTATCTCAACTTGCAATCTTTCCGCACTTGGTAAAATCAATCCAAACGCACAGAAAGATATGCTCGTGTATCCAATCGGGCAATCCGGATGAGGAAGGACACAAAGAAGAATAAAAAGAAAGGATAGAGTTCTCGATACAAACATACATGAGAAAAACAAGTATAAAAGTGTCTGGAATGATTTGGAAATGGTCCGGAATTTCTGATGCTGAATTACCTTGTAGCTTTTAGGAGCAAGACAGTGATAGTTCTTTCTGATATGACATAATTATATGGATCGTGGATCAGATATGACAACTTTATGAGTGACCTAGGGAAGAAAAGGTTCCAATAGATGAGATTATGACAAAATATGAAAAACATATTGATTTTCATATCTTATTACGTGCGACTACTGGTTCATTGATTCCACAATGCACGTATACATGAGAATTTATGGAGCAAGCTATACTTTGTACTTATACTAAACATGTTGTGTGCGCTAGTGCGTGTGAATGCAGCGACCATTCTTTAAATGAAAAGTGGAATTCAGTGAGAAAAGGATATGAATAACAAATTTAGCACGCGAATTGAATTGGAACAATAATAAAGTAATTGGCATACTTTGCGAATGTTCATTCATAACTGGACTGTCTTTTTAAATAAAGAAAATAAATTCATCTTTATCTCTCGTAACAAAAAAAAAACAGACCACTTATATCACAGAATAAATACTAACAAAATTAATTTAAAATATATTGTAATTATAACAGACCATCCAAAGGAAGAAAAAAATGCAATGCTGCCGTCTCGAGCAACTTGCTAGAGCATCTCCAAGAGTCTCTAAAATATACTCTCTAAATCATCATTTAGAGAGTCATTTGATTAAAAATCGTTTTTTATATTTTTGTAAGCATTTATCTTGTACGTAGTCCAGAGAGCCATTCTCATTCTTCATCTTCGACTACCGAGAAACCCGAAATAGAGGACTATATTTAGATATCCAATTGAAAAGGTTGTTGAAGGATATTTTTGATTAAAATCTCTATTCGTGCAAGCCAGGAAAATATAAAAGAGTCTCCCGGACATACTCGCTATTTCCAACTGATCAAGTTACTGCGGATTACACCAGTCACGCAGTCAAACAAGATCTCTGTATAAAGGCTCCGGAGCTGGACTATTCTCCTCGTTTGGAAATTTGCGGAAAAGGACGATCCTCAGTTCCTCACTCGCCGAAAGGCAATGCAATTGCAACCGCTAGTCCGCAACCGCCGAGCTCGAATCTCCTATTCCGCAAGCGTAGCACATATCCGCCACCCGTCTCGTATATAAAGTGGCGGGAGGGCGATGAACATCAAGACGAGCACAGCAACAGGGCACTGGCCAGTGGCCACACATGGACGCGCTCTTCGAGCAGCTCTCCGTGCTCGCCGACATGGCCCTGGACGACCGGGGCTTCGACCCGGCGAGACTGGACGGCATCCTGGCGGTCTTCGAGTGCGAGGCGCGCGCGTCGTGGGCGGCGGCTGAGGCAGAGCACGAGGCCGTGGCCCGCGCCACCGAGACGGCCGCGGAGGGCCACCTCGACGCCGTGATGATGGGCGCGGCCGTGGGCTGGTCCGGGGAGGCCGACGCGCTGTCCGCGGCCACCACCGCGATGGAAATGGCCTTCAACGCGACGTCAAAGGTTGTAGATCCATGGAAAACAGATTGATCTCGTGGCGATGTGACGAATACAACTAAATTTAGCGCTACAATATTCCATGTGTGTACTATCAGTCTATCAGTATATCACGGGGTATCACCCCTCGTCATATCAGTGTGCCTGTGCCTGGACATCCTGTCTACTCGTATACACATCGGATGCGTTTGTTCGAGGACGAAGTTAGATGAGACGAGAATAGTTGACTAATTAGATCTATTATTTAAAAATAATAATAACTAATTAGACACTAATAAATATACACTAATACTATTTTTGTCATGATAATCACTAATTTAAAATAAAATATGTTAATTAGCACCACTAACATTCTAATTATCACACGAAACATGCACTAATCACTATATTAGCACTTATCAGAACTAATTCTACCATCATAATTATTAAGTAATAATATAACATACTAATAATCTTTAAATTATTTACTAATGACAAAGATTAGAAGACATGGATAAGCTGGTTCGTCAGATTTTTTCGGACCACAAAATCCAGCATCTAAGGGGAATATTCTCTATCCATTGATTCCCTTATCTGAGTGATCCATCGACCAAACACACCTCATCCATAGATGGTCCCGTCCCATCCATACAGATCCAAGCAACAAAACACACCCTTTTGAATCCACCGATCCAGTAATTTAAGTGTATATTCATTTAAACGTAGATCTATTGATGTTACATATGCCACAATAGTCAAAAGTAATTTTATCATCTGACATCTAACAAATCAATTTGCTCACAATAATGAGGTGGTGTGGCATTACAATTCACTGAATTAGAAGCATACCTCGTGCGTTGCTGCATGAATTGTGGATTAGTGTATTGCCTTGTTGCATAGCTTGCATGTTGAGATAAATAGTTAATGGGATTTTGCTTAGTGGATTTTAATTATATATGATAGTGCATTACTTAGTTGGACAACTTGCATGTTGAAATAAATAGCCAGTGGGATTTTGTTTTATAAGAGTATAAGATAAGATTTAGAGCATAATAAGCATTTATAGCTTAGTTATTTGATATTCAAAGGCATAATTCAAAACTTTCAATAATTCCCTAAACATGTACTAAGAGAAGTTTTTGCAGGGGAAAATTGTCAAAATTAACCATATCCAACTGTAGTTCTATTTTGAAATATCTTCCAAACACGCTGTTGTGATCGCTTTTAAGTCTTGATTGATAACTTCCAAGCACTCGTAAGATAGTAGTCTTCAAATGCTGCTCTTGCTTGTGTCATTGTGGGAATTTAGTCATATGTACTCGCGAATGAGTTTCTAGCTGAGTTAATCAGCCGGCTATAGTAGCACACCTAAGGTCGACTCCCTCATGGGAGTGATTAGGTTAATGTTAAAAAATTCCTCTCTTCTCTTACGCTAAGCGCACGTCTAAGATCTGACCTACTTTTTTTTAGTCGAATGTACTCGCTCGCAAAACGAACATAATGGCTAAATCAATTACTAATAGACTCAACATTGGAATAATCTTTAATTCTTCGTTCATACAAAACATCACTAAACTTCAATACACTACCAACAAATGATTTTACAAGGGGTTTTTATTTTTTATGATGAATGTTGGATCTTACGGTATGTCCAATGTTTGAGGATTGTCATTGGATTCACCATAAGAGCTGCACATTGGCTTCGGTATTCAAGAAGGCTTTGTTCTGAATTGAGGAAAGCTACTAGTGAAGAAGACAATGGAAAAAATCTAAATAAAATTTTGTATTTTTTATTAATTTCCCCAACTCTTCGAAAAAAAGGTAAAGGCATTCTTTTTGAGCGTCTTTGTTAAAAAAATAGATTTTTTTTTGAGAAATCTGGCCTAAAAGAAAAGATCTCTTTTCAACCAGAGGATTGGACAAGTCTATCATCAAACGGGCTGGAGACCAAATCAATTTACTAGAAAGCCCCAAACTGTCATTTGCAGCCCAAGCCCCAAGATGATCATCAGTCCATCACAATTCAGCCCAAGCAATTTCCTAAAAAAAAAATTCAGCCCAAGCAAACCGGTCAGCTGGCGCCTGGCTCCCACCGGCTCCCATGAAGAAGGAGATCCGGGTCCACCCGCCACCCACCCACATCACGTCACGTGAAAGCGCGGTGGCAACCGTTTCCTCTTCAGCGGGTGTACGTGTTGCCCGGGCGCCTGGTGGGCCCACGCATGACCCCCAATACACAACGCGTCGTGTCGCTTCTCCTTGCGATATTATAACTGACTCGTGGACCCGTAGACCCGTGGACACGTAGAGACGTGAGGGACCACCACGTATCAGTCATTGTGCAACACGGCCCGTGACCCGGCGCAAGGAAAAGCAGCAGCGGACCAGGTATATCCCCAGCCGAGGAAAGTGCTACGGCCACGCGTACCAGCTCACGACCATGTGGGCTCGGATAGTCAGTGACTACGTGAGCTTGCTAGGGTGCGCGTAGCAGCGTCTCGGAAGGCGCCTTTCTCGAGGTGGGAGCACGACTCCCAGGCCCAGCCCACTACGAGGGGAAGCGACAAGCGAACGGGCGCTTTGATTTTTACAGAAGCATCTCTCTCCTCAGTTCTCTTTCCCTCTCGCTCCCGGATCTGAGCTCCCCCGAAAAAATCGTACCTGAGAGAAACCCTAGCACTGGAGGTTTTCCGCCGTGGCGCCTCGCCGGAGACCTCCGCTCGCCGCGGCCGCCGACGCGTCGCCCTCGTCATCCCCCCGGAAGTCCGGCGAAGATGCGCCGCCGGCGGCGGCCGGCGTCACCCCGTGCGAGCAGGCCAGGAAGGCACTGTGTGTGCGGTCGCCGTTTGACGGGGAGGAGGCTGCTGGACGGGACCCCTGGCTGCCATCCCGAGTTGCCAGATGGGCGGCGGTGGGCGACGTGCGGAAGAATCATAAGAAGAGCCAGCCCCAGCAGCAGCAGCAGCCGGAGCCAGCACCTCCCCTGGAGCAGCACCCGAGAGTGCCTGCTGGGTGCAAGGGCTTTTGGGAGCAGTTGGAGCCCTATTTCCGAGAGTTCACTGCGGAGGATTTCGAGGAATTAGTGACAAAGCATCAATTCTGTCTTAGCCAGATTGATCCATATTTTGTGATACCAGTTGTTGGCAGTAGTAAGGAGTTAGGGGAGAATTCAGATCTATCTCATGCTTTTGAAGCTGATGAAAGCCCGGATTTGAGCTCGAATTTGGGCAAGCATAACGAGGAGTTGGATAGGAGCAAAGAGGATATTCAGGACAGCTTGGATGATATTGGAGCCAGTGTAGAGCTGGTCACCCAAGATGAGAGTAATACAGAGAATTGTGATCAGGACATGCAGGAAGTGATTGTGCAGCAAGAGGAGCAGCCGGTTGAAATCGTGTTAGATCAAAGCAGGACTAATAGCATTGTTCTACCGGGATGCAGAGAGGATCTGTGGCCTTCTCTGAGCTGGCTCTTAGGAGCAAGGGGACGGTTTGTGCTCACTTCAGAGCGCCCAAACAAGAAGAGGAAGCTCTTAGGTGCAGATGCTGGGCTAGAGCAGCTTGTACTGCTGCCATCCCCTGAAGGTGAGGCTGGTTCGATCTGCGATGTTTGTTGTCTGGGAGAAAGTGACATGATGTCTAACAGGATGCTTCATTGCAAGAACTGTGAGATATCTGTGCACCAGAAGTGTTATGGTGTGCATGTTGTGCCAGATCGTTTCTGGTTTTGTGTTTGGTGTAGCTGGAATATCGGGATGCCACGGAGGTTGACACGGAGCGATGCCTGCAGGACTGTGTCAATGCCCTGTGTGCTCTGTCCGAAGGAGAAAGGTGCTTTGAAACCTTTCAAAAGGGACCCAGGTTCATCCACAGATGGAGGAAACCAAGAATTTGTACATTTATTTTGTAGTCTTTGGAGACCAGAGTTTTATGTCAAGGATATGGAATCAATGGAGCCTGTCACCAATATAGTAGATACCCAAGAGAATCAATCAAAATTGGTGTGCAGCCTTTGCAAGGTCATGCATGGCGCATGTGTCCGCTGCAGCCATGGTATGTATTTTGAACATAATCACTCCGATTCTAACACTAAGCTACATTCATCTCCTGTCTCTGAGAACTGAAGTTCTTATATGCTTGAATCTTTAATTTAAGATATGTTGTGGCACACCCTAATGCCCTATGACATTACAAGTCAGTGTCCATTTTTTGTTCTGGACATCAAGACTCTACTTCTATCCCCCCCCACAATATGGCTTAAGCTGCAATAATTCGTTCTCTTTTCCTTTCTTTATTTTCTCTTGTCATACCCCAGTTTCACTTATTTGAAATCGTATAAAAGTGAAATGCACCAGCACTCCTTGAACTTGTACCACACTACCACAGTGTCTTCCATGTCCTGAATTCACATATGGGTTCCTAAACTAGTTAAGTGTGTCATTTGTCAATATCTAAATCTTATTTTGGTGTCTGTATGCCATGCCACTCAGCATTTTCGTGATTGATGTCTTATCAACATGCCTCTCCTGTTAAGTTGCCATTGTAAGCCAAAGCCATCAACATTTGGATTTAACCATATTTGTGAAAGAGCTGGCATTCGACTATTTGAGTTATGTTGCATGGATAGTTGCACTTGAATAGACAACCCACTTAGTGTTTCTCATTAACTAATCGGTATGCAGTTCTAGGCTTTTGGGGACCTTAAGAACATGAATCATTAGGAAAAAATACTGACAACTCATACAAAAGCAAATTGACCAATGAAAAAGAATTTACTTAGTTGCACAGAACCAGTTAAGGTCTATGCGATCATGTTGGATATTGTTGAATTTCACAAACTGGTGGCCATGCGTAGTGAATATTTTTTTTACCTCTCTGAGGTCCTGTGGCAAATCTCTGTTATCAAGTCAAATTGATTTATTATTGATGAAGGTTTGGCAAATAAATTGTGATTCCTTGTTCATTGTTTCTGTACAAATAGAGCTCTACATGTCTTCTAGATCTAGTGTTTTCTAAGGTAAACCTTCTACAAATAAGGATGTAATTTATTTTGGG